AGGCACAAGGTCTTATGTGTGCTGTTGAGATAATTTTTCCTTATATAATTAATCTAATAATTACAGTCCAGTACCCCAAAAATAAAGTAAGAAAACCGTACATGAATCGTATGAAACAGATTCTTGCAAACAGTACATTAAGGCCACTTTTCACATTGTTATGTCAAAATGTAATCGTCTTTATCCGACCGCAATGGGGCAACGCAGAGCCGCCGCGGCGATGTCGCCCGATAAATGTCTTGTCGGATCCCCCGTATTTACTTTCCGTGCTTTTAGGTCCTTCAAGCACTAGTCACCGTCTTATATATGCTGTTGAGATAATTTTTCCTTATATAATTAATCTAATAATTACAGTCCAATACCCCACAAATAAAGTAAGAAAACCGTACATGAATCGTATGAAAGAGATTCTTGCAAAAAGTACATTAAGGCCACTTTTCACATTGTTATGTCAAAATGTAATCGTCTTTATCCGACCGCAATGGGGCAACGCAGAGCCGCCGCGGCGATGTCGCCCGATAAATGTCTTGTCGGATCCCCCGGATATACTCTCCGTGCTTTTAGATCCCTCAAGCACCAGTCACCGTCTTCGTCGAACTATTACGACGAAGAGTTCGACGAGCCACCTCATCCATCTGAGTTTATCGCCTGATCGTCTCAGCGGGGTACGATTCCGATCCCGTGGTAGATTCTGCGAAGCACTGCTCTCGCTAAGACTAGTGTTAGTAAGCTCTCTCAGGTTGAGCCCGTGAGCTCACCTATCCGTCTGGGAATAGCTGGACTAGCCTCTTAGCCTACGAGCGAATAGGTAAAAAAAAAAAAGTAAGCATCACCTATCTTGAGAGAAGTTTGAAATTCCTAGTTTGAAATTCATTATTCCTAGTTTGTAATTCATTAAAATTAGTATTACCCCACTCATAAAACGGAAGTAGAAAAATGCCCATTTGTTGAAACAGGTAAATTGTTGAACTGTAGCACAACATAATGCAGGCTCACGAGCCTTTAAGAACTAGTAATCCATGAGAAAACTTAATGTAAGATTTGCTAAAAACCACAAGATGTTTCATCCACATATTTTTTTTTCTTATTCAGAAATAATATATTTTTACTACAATCATTTTAGCACTAGGCACATGTATAGAATAATGTAATTTTTTAATTTAAAGATGGAAGAATTGCAGCTGTTTCTACAAAGTTTCACATTAATTATTCTTATTTATATATTAACCATACAACAAACATAGACATTCTCCTTCTGTTTGGTTATCTTTTGTTTGATTTCTTTAGTATACTTCTTTTTAACTCAAGACTCTGATGAATTGAGAGGATGAATTTCAAAGGAAAATACAATTGTACATTGTTTTTTCCCATGATGTTTCAATTTTTAAACATTATTATCACATAGATTATTATTGTAAATACATTAGCAGTTTTCACTGTTGTGTGTCACTAGTAACATGAATTTTCAAGTCTATTCTTGAAGGAATTGTTCTGTTCTTGTATTTTTTACTCAATTCAATACCCAAGAGTTTCAAGGGAAGCCCTTGTAAAATGCTTATTATTAAATATTAAAACGTTTTACAATTCAGATACATCATATCATTGTATATTTTGCCATTCAAACTTTTGTCTTTATTCATATTGATAATAGACTGTAGGCTTATGCATGTTAATTTTAACAGTATTGCCACTGTTTTATATTGTTCAAATATGTGTTAACACATGAGAACAATGTACAGCTGTATCAACATTTATTATGAGTAACAAATTACAAGAACATTTGTTAAAATACTTAATATATAATTTTAATTGCAAAAAGTTTATATATTAATTACCTACTACAATGTCACTCCTGAACTTAAAGTCACATATTTGTGAAGTTCTAATGAATAGGTAAATAAAATTGAACATAATTTACACATGATGTATGTGTGTTTTAACAATGTCTGATGACACCTTTGAGAAAAACAACATATTGTATTTAAACAATCTCCAACTTTATCATTTTGTACTCATTTAGTGGGTTAGAATACTAAGAAGATTTACACATCGTAATTCACAAAATGTTTTGAATTCTTACTGAATTCATCAAAATTAAATATAAGACCAACTAGATGAGCTAAATCATGTTATAAAATTGTGTATTAAAAAAAATATTTTTACTTACTTGTATCCGGTTTTTTCAAGAACTTCATTGGCTGATGAATGAGCAAAAGTAACCTCCTCCCTTAATTTGTCAGCTGTTTTCAGGAACTCTCCTTTCAGGTCAGACTCCTTTTCGAAGAATCCAACAACCACTACTTCATCCTTAGAAGTAAAAGCTTCAAAATCAGCTACTGTAAGGAGCTCCTTGGAGCTGGGTCCAACTTGGGCACGCATGTACTTGACAATGCCATCTAGGAAAATATTTTTATTGTTAATTCAGATGATATTAACGCTTTCTTTGTGCTAGGTATTCACCCTTGTCTGTATTCATGTCTCATTAAGTAATGACTTATACATTTTTTAGAAAGTTAATGTATGCACATGGCAGGCCATTATTGTTTGTAATTTTTACTTCTTAAACAATTTGTTCAAAAGTAATTCTAGAATAATCACTTTAGTTTTAGTTAAATGACATGGCACTTTCGAAACTTACTAGACTCCCTTGGTCCATTGTACTCTGAAGAAAGCTCTCCTTTTCTGAATATTTTCAGTGTAGGATATCCGGACACAGAGAATTGTTCACAAGTACTCTTGCCACCTTCCGTACAGTCTACTTTAGCTAGCGCCACCGGAGGGTCATCGGTCTTTAACAGGCCGGCGGCTACCGCATACTCTGGCTTTAGTCTCTTACAATGACCGCACCTTAACAATTTAATCATATTTAAAATCATTTCGCAATCTTTCTAAGGTGTAATTATTTTTTACTAAAAATATATATACTTACCAAGGCGCGTAAAACATGACCAGGGCTGTATCATGTTGAGATAAAACAGCCGAAAAGTCGGAATCTGTAAGATCGAGAACATCCTCCTCGGCCGCTTTACATAAATAAATTATGCCTAATAAAAGAACAAACTTTAGTGATCCGAACATTTCGAATTTAGCCGGTGCTTTTCAACAGAACCGTACTAATTACTCCGCTTTCCAACCGAACCTGACGAATGAAAGTATCAAAGAGAGGACAAGGACCGGAAAATTGAAAATACACGTATGATGCTGCCGATGACATTTGCCGGCTCAGCGTTGGCTGTTTCTGATTGGCTAGTTAAAGCTGCGTTCAGGAAAGTTTCATCTGACTTTGTTTCGTTTTTTTTTTAAATAAAAGATATTATGTTTATTGTAATCACTTTCAAACTTGAAAAGCTGATCAAAAAATATATTCACAGCTTTTCAAAAAATTTTGAGCATTCTCAAAATTTCATTATTGCCCATATCATTATTGCCCATATCTGGTCAAAAGAGACGTCAAATGTCAGATTCTCAAAGGAAAATTTTCCAATGTTGCAAACCTTGAATTAAAGTCATGTGAACCCTTTTTCGTCATAATTATCTATTTCATATTCCGGTTGATTTGTTACATATCTTTTTCAAATTGGTAATATTCAAAGAGAAAATCTATAGTCGTATGGAGTTGATTTGAATGAAGAAAATTTCTGCTCAGTTGAAATTGGCTAATGACTTATGGTAGATACTTAATTGGGAGAACATTACCACCCGATAATAAATGGCTATCAGAGTACATTTTTATTTATTTATTGCTTAGATGGATGGACGAGCTCACAGCCCACCTGGGGTTAAGTGGTTACTGGAGTCCATAGACATCTACAACGTAAATGCGCCACCCTCTCGAGATATAAGTTCTAAAGTCTCAGTATAGTAGACACATAGACATCAACATCGTAGCTTACAGTGCAATTGCTTTCCAACCCTTCAAACCTGAACGCTAATACGAGTGTGTATTGCCCTTATAAAATAAATGGCTAAATGCATTCCTCTTTGGAGGGTAGGACCTTTAATCATAAAAATGGAGAATTCGTGTTCAAAAGTAATGTATTTTACTTTATTCTGCTCCGATAACTATTTAAAACCAGATAGACCATAAGTCTCTCTACTAATTAAGTGTAATAAAAAAATGCATACTGCTTGACCAGTATAAAATTTAGATCATCGGTAAGTTCTGATTTTTTACATTGCTCTTGTAGACCAACGAGCATACGGTTCACAGGATGGTGAGTGGATACACCTACTCTTGAATATCAGCAATGCCAGGGGCAGAGCCAAACCGCTGCCTACCACTGAGTTTTCTCTGCAAGCCTCATTTGAAAAACGATATGTCATAGCACTCGGGAAGCACAGTGGAGGGGGAGCTCATTCCAAAGATGGATGGTATGTGGCATAAAATATTTCTGGACATGCACTGTGAACAGACGCAGTGATTCCACCTAGTATGGATGAATTCTTCTGACAGGCAGCACGGTAGTAAAAACGAGATGAAGAGATCATCTCAATCAATATCTCAGAGCGCTCTTTAAGGAATATACAGTAAAAAAACCTATTGAGAACCGTAGTCATTCCAGAGGCTCCAAACGATCAACAACAATCCGAACGGCGCTCTTCTAAACGGAGTCAAATGGGAGTCGCTGGTATTTGGGAGCCCCAAGCCAGAGGTGGGAGCACTACACCACGCTTCCTTCTCCTAGCGTAAAGAACCACTTCGCTCTTTCCGCTTCGCTCGACTCCCAGGATCCTTAAAGCCAAGTTGACTATCGGAGTCGAAGATAAGCTGGCTATGATTAAATTTGATTGGATTAAACATTGACTCCATTATCTTAGTAATCGTGGAAGGTTGTAAGCATACCTCTTGGAATTGTGGTGCCATGACTAAAACGTCCTTCTGCGCATCGAAGGCACAAAGCTGTGATTGGTTACTGTTTTTTTTTAAATGCCGTGAATATTAAATTCTGAGATCTAGCAACACTTAAAATACCTTCAAATCGACAGTCATAATAGTAATATTTTGTCAGTTGGCTTCGCTGTCAAACAGAAAATGGCAGCAACGAGTGTTGTCGTTCTCGACAGAGGCAACAATACAACATGTACCGTAAATCTTTTCGGTGAGTGTTAGATTTTATTACTGCATCTTTCAACTACACAACAATAAGACTGAAATAATTTACTGAATTGAACTGTCACTAAGATCATTCGTTATACCACATAACCTCAGTTCTTTATTTATATTTGAAGAGACGCGCGCGTAACTTAAAAAAAAACAACAAATTTTAAATTTATTGGATTTACAATTTGCCTATTGTATGAATGTCCTCGAGTTGAAATTTAAAATGTAATAAGCGCACCTTCGTATGTACCGTGTATTAGGTGTTTAGTTGAGAGGTAACAAGTTTTTTTTTCTTAGTGAATAGAATAGAGTTGTCTGCGGCGAGTCTGACCTTGGCTATTGGATTGTAGGAAGTAAACTGTAGATACTTTTAAATTGTAGGTTGGTATTTGATGTACTCACAAAAAAAAACCAAAGGTAAGATCAGTGATTAGTTTCAGAATCTGATCAATAACAATGTGATATTAAACTTTTAAAACTTCATAAAGATAATTATTTGGTGTTAGTTGACTTATGCTGGCTTGAAGTCCAACCATATATAAATATAAAAGCCATAATTAATGTACCAAACTTTGCCAAAAAGAAATAAAAAAATCCAAGAAATTTTACAATGTAATTTGGGTTAAAACATTTTTAAAGGAACCTAGTTTGAATGATTCAATGTATCAATAAAGCACCATTTTGGGCGCAGAAATTAAAATTACCAGAATCTATACATGTACTTTTTTAATATTGTAATTAAAATTAATTATATTGAATAAAATTGGAAATATGATAACTAATAAAAACAATCTCTCCTAGGTGCTACTGTAGTGTCATGGAGGGTGAACAACCAAGAGCAATTATTTGTTAGGTAAGTAAAAATAAGAAGTTTTTTTTTAATTACAAAAATTAATTTATTAATTGACACAACTTGAAACGCTTGAAAGTAATGTAATTTATGTAAAAACAATGTAAATTGAGTAGTAATGCCATAAACTAACCAAGGATATCGTTCGATATATTAATATTCGATATATTAATATTCTGGTATTTTATATTTAAAAAAAAATATTTGGTCCAATTTGCAAAATACAATGCAGTTTTTAATAAACTTCATGCACACATTCACGCAAAAGTCATTTCACTATCTTAGCCAGCTATACCTTTTACGGTAGGCAGCGACTTGGCTCTGCCCCTGGCATTGCTGAGGTCCATGGGCGACAGTAACCACTCGCCATTAGGTGGGCCGTGTGCACGTCCACCTACAAGTACAATAAAAAAACATGGTGTGCAATCGAATAATATGTAAACCCTGATCTTGGCCAAGTTTATCAACATTGATATTAACCATATTTTAATGTTACGAATGGACCAACAGGATTTTGGTCCACCTGATATTAAGCAAGTAGTTATTGGGGCCACAAAACAGCACATCGTAAATACCACCACCCACCATAAAGCATAAAATGAAAATCATAATTATATTGTATTTGTCTGTCTCATACTCCAAAACTGAAACGCATGATTGCTTGCTGAAGAAACCGGCAGGAATAGTGGTATCTACCCGTGTAGCTCACATTACGCCATACCGTCAGTATTACGCAAGCAAAAAAAAAAATTAATTTGATGATTTTCTTACACGACGTTATTTCTTTATCGTGGAAGGCATTCTTAAGCAAATGTCACGTACGTATTTATGGAAGAAAATATAGGTAGGAAGTATACACGTGTGTAGGTAGGTAAAAACCCTCCCACCATGTGATTATTACATACATTTACCAAAAACATTTTTCATATTCTTCAACGTGCTTGCAAGCTTTGAAAGAAGTCCTTTATATTCTTTTACTAATTGTAATCGCCGAGGCTTATAAAAAAGGGCAATAAAGGCAATAAAAAAAAACTTTAAAGTAGGCACTCCATACTAGATATAGTTACTTAAATTGAATAATAATTAAAATTCATTAAAAGCCGTCTTGTCAAATTTATTAATAATTTTACGCCATAAATCTATCTATGACAAGTACCGATACGGTATGGTTATAATTCATAGATTTAAAAATATTCATATATATATTTACATATCATAAAACTTTATATGCATTAATCAAATTATTGAGCTAGCCAATTGCCGGGTTCAATGTACAAAACCTTTCGACTGTAAAGTTTATTATATCAAAAAAATATTAACACCACACCAAAACTTTTCCAATTTATTGGAAGATATTTGAATTGCATTACATTCGTGCGCGCGCGCGTGTGTATGTGTGTGCAGGTTTATCATTATTATTATTTTCTAATAATTTTTGGTAAATCAAAAAAGCAAAGTCGCAAATAATTCGATTTTGCGTAATATAATTTAACGATAAATCTGAGACGAAGTCTGTATTAATATTGATTGAGTTGACTGTATTTAGCGACAAAAAGAAAATTAATGCTCGAATGAGCGTTACCTAACGTTTTGTTCTTGCGGGATTTTGTAGCGTCGATACCGGTGATGGAAAACATTTTGAGGTAACCAAGAAAGACAATATCCAAACAACCTACCTTAGTTCTTGGATATGTTATCTTCAATGCTTGTGAGATATTATAATCGTTACTTGTGATACAATAAAAGATTATCATTAAACATTTTACTGGTGGTAGGACCTCTTGTGAGTCCGCGCGAGTAGGTACCACAGCTCTGCCTATTTCTTCCGTGAAGCAGTAATGCGTTTCGGTTTGAAGGGTGGGGCAGCCGTTGTAACTATACTGAGATCTTAGAACTTATATCTCAAGGTGGGTGGCGCATTTACGTTGTAGATGTCCATGGGCTCCAGTAACCACTTTACACCAGGTGGGCTGTGAGTTCGTCCACCCATCTAAGCAATAAAAATAAAAAAACATAGACCAAGTTTTAGCGGAACTTGCGTCACAACAATAAATGATCGATGTTCTTCGTTAGAAGGTTAAAGAATAACAACATAAAACCTATCACAAAATGAAACTCTTCTTTTCAATGGTTTTCGGCTAAACGAATTATATTGTTTAACGTATAGCAATCGTTTGACGTCACATTTGATGGTTTGATCTAAGGATGTTACAAGTACCTCTTTAGTATCATAATGCAGGTTGCAGATCACGACCTAAGCTACGTCACTAGCTCAGTTCGTATTGCTTAGGTAATCATCACAGATAAACTACAAAAGTCCATTACTGTCCATAGTTTGGGTCGAGTGTAACGATCATGGGAATTCTCTCAACGTGACAACGTAAAGTATGTAAATTAAAACAGGAGAAGCTAAGTTAGTTTCTTTGCTGATCGAAATCTGCGCGAGTTAAGCTCAGCTTCTCTTGCCACAGTGGCACATCATTGACCAATTGTGATTAGTTCCGTGCGAAACGCAATTAATAGTGAAAGATTGAATCTGTTGATTTATTCAAGGTACGGGATTGTGTTTAAAGTAAGTATTATGTTTATGTTCAATATCTAAATATACCGTATATTTTATATAAATAAATAATTATTTGCCGTGACTGACTTGACTAATTCATCAACGCAGAGCTTGTTGGGCTAGAAACTTCAGAATAAGCGATGAAATGTTTCATGAAAGTCCGTCATCTATATAATAATACGTGAAGCAAAAACTTTGTACCCCTTTTTACGAAAATTGCGCGGACGGAGGAGTATGAAACTTTCCACACTTATAGAGAATATAGAGAAGGAGTGCAAAATGTTAATATTTTTTCAAATTATGCGTAACAAATACATTACATCAATAAAAGAAACATGACCCACACGCATATATATTCTACCTTTATTATCAAGTTTTTGTTAACGTGTTAATCGTTGGTCAAATTGAGAATAAATTAATTATTGTTTGTCTTCATTAATATTTGTCTAATGTGGGGTTTTGGCGAAATCTGTGACTATAGAAGTATAATAGTCTGACAATAGAATCTTAATGGTGTAGAAACTTATAATTTCAATTAATAGTAGTCGAATTACGATTACCGGGGGATCACTAGTTTTCATAGCAAGACGAACGAAATAACGCACATCTACTTCTGGTAAGAATTAAATGTACATGTACATATATGGTTGTATTTTTAAAGTTACCCATAAAAAGAACAAGGAGGACAGTCAGAGGTTGACTAAGAGAAGTTCATCACTTTTGAAAGAAGAAGCATCAAATTTGACATGAGAGCTTCCCAAAAAAAATTTAATACAAATATTATAAATAATTGAAATATAATTACCGGACTTTAAAATAGCGTGAAATATCCTGAAGTACCTACTCGTGCGAAGCCAGGGCTGGGCGCTACTTTTTTTTTTTTTTTTTTTCCACAGGAGAAAATCGCCGGATCCCCACCCGCGCGGCAGGTGGGGTATGTGGGAGTTGAACCTCACTAAAAACTCCTGCCGCTCACAACCGGCGCCCTACTTCGGACCGGGCCGGAGCCCAGTCGGGGCTATTGAAACGGCGGGACAGGGTTGACGCAGAGCACATTACATCCATCCCACCGTCCCACGGACGCCGGACCGGTGGCCGCCAGCGAAACGACCACCGGTTCCCTCGTTCAGCGGGCCGAGAGCCCGCTTTGATGGCGCCGCGTTACACCTTCCCCCAGAGCGGTCGGGGGAACGCGGTCTACCATCACCCGGCTTCCTATTGCGGGTGAGCGTGCAGAGCACGCCACCCCTCGTCTGGGTCCCTCCCCGCACAAAACGGGTGGGACCCCTAGCTCTTAGGGGGCCAGGTCACGGATACGACCCCGGTCCCGACCCCCTGCTCGGCGGCGGCGGGTTTCTGCGTAGTGAGGAGAGCTTTCCCTCACTCGCCCCGCCGCCTCCTTCTGCGAGATGGTGCACTCGCAGAAGTCGAGCATAGCCTTCCATGACTCATCGCTGCCAAGCATCGACGCCACGACGCCAGGCAGCGACAAGTCAGGTCCTATCTTTGCGACCAGGACACGGCGCTGCACCTCCCAAGCGGGGCAGACAGCGAGCGTATGCTCCGCCGTGTCCAGGTCGTGTCCACAATGGTGACACCTCGTCGTCGGCTCAGCCCCTATCCGGCGCAGGTACTTCCCGAAGCATGGGCTGGGCGCTACTAGATGATTTTGGCGACAAATGCACGAAATTACTACAGAACTACTTTCACCACACAAATTTGCTGTTACTGTAGCTAGGTTAGCTTAGCTTCAGTATAGCGTATCTCTTGGTCTTCAACAAACTCAACAGACAAGATTTACAAAACTGAATAGCGTATTTGCGTGTCGACGGGCAATAAACTATTTGATTGTTAAATCACTAAGTGGAAGTGAGTTTGTGATTTTGCATACTACTTAATATAATCTGGTGGGTCGTCCTATGAGGGAAATTCGATCATAACCACGAAAATTTCAAGATGTAGATTTATTTTATGTACATATTACACTTTCCTTATTACATTGTCATTGAAATTAAAAAATAAAATTATTTCCCATAAAACTATTGATGCCATTTAAAGCTCCTTATTAGCTAGTACAAAAAAAAGTAAATTTGTCAATAAACACAGAGGAAAATTGTACTTAACTGTTTTATCTTTGCGTATGTATATACATAGTATGTGTTTATCATAACATCTATATTAATATCTGAACTTTGTCACATTTTTCATATTAAAAAGGTTCGATGACATCTAGGCGTTCTATTACCAATATTTGATATTTATTCTAATTAATTGGTATACAGGTATATCACTGTTTAGCGACAATAGTAAAAATCTGTTCGCAATTATTGTTCTTTATTTAGGAAATAGTAGAAATATTTCTGCTATGCCTTTGAGATTCCTAAGTTATATCTATTTAGCGATTGGCGTTGTCCAATATTTACAATAAACATAATTCACC